CACACACACACACACACACAGAGAGAGAGAGAGAGAGAGAGAGAGAGAGAGAGAGAGAGAGAGAGAGAGAGAGAGAGAGAGAGAGAGAGAGGACCTTACCTGGCGACGTTAACAGGTGGAGCGTCTCGCCTGGCGGTTGCTGCGACGTGACCACAAACATGTAAGTTTCCTTTTTCCTTTTTTTCTTTTTGTTCTTCTTTTTTCTTATTTTGTTTTTGTTTTTGTTTCCTGGTGTTGTCGTGGTTGCGCGCGTTCGACTTCAGGAACAGGTTGCAACACTCAACAACGCCCGAACCTGGCACTTTCTGCGGCCGGGTGCGGGCACCTGTTGCAGCAAGGGGGAGGAGCCCCTTCGGACTTGACTCTAGTTCAATCGAGGGAAATGACTGTGTGGGGGAGGCTGCTCGTTTTGTAAAAAACAAGCTGCCCCCTGCCCAATGAAACGAAGGAGAAGAAGCAACAGCCACGTATGTGGCCGCGGGCTTAGAGTAGATGCAGGGGGTAGAAAAAAAGAAGAGAAAAGGAAGGAAAAGGGAAAGCGGCCGCAAATTTGATCGTGGCCGTGGAACAGGTGTGACCCCTAGAAGTTTCTAGGGGCTCAGGTGACTGCACCTGTTCGTTTTTGAACAGGCTGCAGGGAATGGCCGGGTACAGACATTTCTAGAAATATGTGGCCCAGGAAAATGGCCAAATACTTCTAGGAATTGAAGACCCTGGTCCCCCTAGGGGAACATCAAGGATTCTGACACTTGATCGTAGGTCCGGATCAAGGGCTCAGAACAACTACGTTTTTTTGATGTGGGCAAGGCAGCTGCACACATGCCTTCGGCTGGCTATAAAAGCCAGCACTCCACCCAGCAGCCTCACAATTGTGGCAGTGCTGCTGGGGCATTCACTTGTGTGAATGCTGGCTGGCTGCTGCGGTGTTGCTAGAGAGGGGCGGTGTTGCCGATGCAGGTGCTGAAATGGAGAGTGGTGGACTGAAATGACCAGGGGAGTGGAGGCTGCCATAGCCACCACTTCATTTGGTGAAGTGCAAGGAAGGTGCTGCCTGCATAGCGCGGCTCGCAGCAACTGTTTTTGTTGCAGTGCAGGGAAGGTTCTGCCCGTTTTGCACGTTGGCGGTAGTCATCGACAAGTGGTGCAGGGGAGACTTTGCCCTTTTTTGCGCAGCGCCGACAACCATTTTAGAGTGACTTTGGGTTGATGCTGTCCCCGGTAACGGCGCCACCTGTCGAGCGCATCGGCTCCCGCCTTTTTCGCAAAGGCGAAAGCCCTCCCGGCCATGTCACGCAGGAGTAAAACAAAACAAAACGAGAGACAACTTAGGAATGGCGCAACACATCCCACGAGCCGCTGAGACAGTCGTGGTCGCGTCGTCCCTTCGTCGCTCTAGCCGGGTGCGCCAGCTGTACATCCCACGGTCCCCTACGACAGGATAGGTTCCCGCGGGGCATAAGCTTTCCTTCCCTAAGGGGCTGTCACCACCCTTAGGGGCGTATCCCTACCGAGCTACTAACCCAGGTGCGAAAGCTTTTAGATGCAATTGCAGAGGTAGGTCAGCCGAGGGCGTTTGCTCGTTTGCCGTTGTATAGATACGCTTGGTTAACGCTAGGCGAACCCAACGTCATCCGCTCCTAGGACACTGATCTCCTAGGTGCGGAGCGGACGTCGGTCGACTAGGACTGTCTCAACCAAGTGTGAAACCCAACATTAATCCTAGTCCCTTTAACATACAATAAAAAAAAAAGTTATAACAATCATACATAGTTACATCGAAAGGAATCGACTGTAGTCGATAGAACGATATGTCCAATCTAAAATAATAATTAAAAGAAACCAAATCTTCATTTGATACATCCAATGTCGCGAGATAAAAAAAATAATCCGACCGCCTCAGGCCGAACTCCACAAAACAACCCCTCGTTGGCGGTTGTATGGATACGTCCCGTTTCTTGTTTGTCATCACGACCGGTATTTTTCGATTCCTCAGATTGATTCGATGGTTGTGAGCGGTGGTAGGAGCATCTCGCTTGCGTGGGTGACTTCGCAAATGGGCGTACGCTCATACGAACCCTGTTGAAAGTTCATTGTCGTAGTCAATGCTTATCCTTTAATAGCAGCTTATTAATTGAGTAGTGCGCGTCTTCGGATACGCTGAGCTCGGAAAAAGCTGATTATGGGAACACGGAGGTGCAGAAACTACTTATTTATTCTTGGTGTAGGTCTTGTGATTTCCAAGGAGTTATTGTTGAGTTGGAAGAATTGTAGATCTTTGTATTTCGAGGTAAAAGTGACTGTCACTGTCAAGTGCTCGGATTACTGAAAAACCGAATAGTGAGAAGGTATGAACACGAGACAGATTAGAGAAGTGGAGTTAGAAAAACTTTGGGCAGATCTGGAAAGAGAGGTGGACGTTTTAGTACCGATCATACACGTGGCACTCCACGACGGGGACACAGATACGAAAACAGAGTTAATTACTCAACTAGATAGAGTGATGGGGAGAGTGTATAGTGTTGGGTGTATACTTAGGGACAGTAGAAATCGGAGAGCCAGGGTATTTAGGAGAAGGCTAGAAACTGATGGCTAATCCATCCCACTTCTCGAACATGCAGCAAGTGTCGTTTGCTAATTCGACGCCCAATGGGGTAGCCATTGGAGGAAATGGTTACGGAACAGTTACGCGTTACATATGTGGCAAAGCAGGGCACTACTCCATGAACTGTTGGCAAACCTCAGCGAGACTTTCCTCTCAACCTCCTATCGATAATGATACCGCGAAGATGAGGGATTTTTATAAAAGAGCGGTTCAGAGAGAGAAAGAGGAATGCGAGAGGAAGGCCAAGGAGGAAATGGAGAAGAGAAGACTGGAGGAAGATCAGAGGAGAGAATCCGAACGGATACTCAACGCCGAAGCGAGGGAGGCAAGGTTGGAGGCAACGATCGCGCGATTGTTGGCTCAGCAAAATCGTACGAACTATGCTATAACGGCAACTCCGGCAACTGTAAGGAAGAAGTCTCCCACGTCGAAGGCTAGGATGCTTCGAGAGATCCGAAGTTATATTGGCGAATCAGAAGATGAGAGTGAGGAGGTAAGAGAAGAAGCGGGGAAGCTCGTGGACGCTATCGAGAGAAGGAAGAAAGCAGGGAAGGTGAAGGCTCCGGTCGAGGAAGAGGAAGAAAGATCAACTAGAGTTGTGAAGAGACCACGTGAAAAGACGGTGGAGGCTAATCAAGACCCAGATGACGAATGTTTGAAGACGCCTAGGAAGGGCCTATCGGCATCTTGCTCGAACGAGGGAATGATCGAGTACGCCTTAGAAGTGCACAAGAGGATGTCAGCAAAGAAAGTGCCAGAGATTCGAAAGATTTGCAGCAAAGAGGGGATTAAGTGGTCGAAGAGAGATGAAGTCATCTGCGAATTAGTAAGGTGCAGGACGAAGTTAGCATATGAAGGCTTTGTCGAGAGGAAGGAGGACATCTCCCCGTTAAACGAGAAGTGAAGCTCGCAAATCTTTATATGATCTTGTTGAATATGGACGAGTTGAACAAATGCATGCTACTCCGGAGAGAGAAGATGGGGGAGCAAGGGAAGTTGGTACATCACGAGTTCGAAACCCACGTGACGAGATTGTTCCTGCTATTGGCGTTGAGAGGTTCCTTCCCATAGATGAAAAAGTGGTTGGGTGTGATTAATGACGATGCATCTGAAAGGGTGGATACGAGGGACTCTGGTGTTTATATTGTTGTAAGTCCATGGTGTAAACATATATACATTGGGTGCACAGTCAGGAGGGTCATTACGAGGTGGGCAGAGCACGTCAGATGTGCGATTCCTAGGAATTTTGGTAACGCTAGAAAATTGCACGTGTGGTTGAAAAAGCTTGGCTGGGAACGTTATCTGGTTGTGTCGGTGGTAGTGGGAGTAGAAGATCTGGTGAATATATAGATGATGCTGATAAAATGTTTTTCTCCCGCATTGAATAGCATCGGCAAGGGGCCAAGTGGTGGGAAAAAGAGAAGAAGAGAAGGGAAGAGGGAGAGAGGGAAGAGAAATAAGATGAGCGCTCAAGGATCCGTGATATGTTTTACATATAAGGAAACTCGGACATCTTCGCTCATTGCAACCTTGAAGATCATGGAGAAGGGAGACGGTAAGGGACAAGTGTCGTCTTCAGGAGGAAAGTTGTTGTCTGATGGATGGTTGGCCGTCCATTCGAAGATGGGAGAATCGATGATCGAATATTGCGGGAAGAGGCTGAGGATGAGAGAAATGAGGGCAATTTTGGAAAAAGGGGGTTCTTTTCAGATAGTGAAAGTGAAGTTCGTGTCATCAAACGTTATCCAGCGAAATCTTTTTTTGAGGGAAATGTTGTCCCGCCCTTACCTCATAAGGAGCGTGTATAAATTTTCTCCTCTGCAAAGATGATGGCTTTATACAGGACCGCTGGCCTGTTCTCTCAAAAAAAGACGCGGACCTCATTAAAGTTGAGATTAGCCAAAGTAATTAGAAGGAGGTTTGAAGTTGACATTAGGAAGAGGCCTTTCGTGAAGATTCCGTTCTCACCGTGCTTGAGAACAAGCAACGTACGGTTGATTACGATTGAGTCACTGCATTTGCTTATTCCTGACAGGGCTATAAGTAGCTATGTGGGAGGAAGGGTTAGGATAGTCATGATGAAGGGAAGGACCGTTGGTGATCTGATACACAATCATCGATCTTGGGTGAAGAAGGATGAGGCGTCGTGTACTTGCTTATCCATTGACCTACCACGTGTCCAGAGGCATGTCATGACCAGGTTGAATGAAGTGGAAAATGTTCCAAAGTTTCTATGCAATTCGAAAAATATTACGAAAGGGAAAGGGTACTTTCCGGAAGGGATAGAAAAATGTATATTAGAGGCTATCAAGCCTTGGGCTAGAGGAAGAAGTGTGCGCATTGACAAGACGCTGGTGGCAAGTGCGTTTAGAAAATCAGGTTGTCGGGTGTCAGGGATGTTGGAGGACCAAGTGGACAGATGGTTTGCTCCTTTTCGTAATCTGGTTGCTGTACCGATTGATAGAAATCCGGGTGGCACTCTGATAGTTTGCCCAATCTTGTATTTTCACTCCTATCACTTGACGTTCCGATGGAATGGTAGTTTTGTGCCACAGTCTGAATCGGATGTGGAGATACTGAGGATGACTAAGGATGACTACAGACGAGATGGACTGCAGAAGGTGGCGGAGTGGGGAAAGGACGGTACGATTGGTACTGCCTATATTCTTCCAAAAGACAAAGACTTGAGTGGATGGAGACCTATATCACCAACTACGAATGATCCTGCTAGATTGGCAAGCTCAAGAGTGGGAAGAGCAATACAGTACATGCTGCTATGGGAAGAGAACCCATTTCGACCAGAGATACCTAAAGAAAAGGTGTGACGCTGTGTTGGCACGGAGTTTCGATATTAAGGACATGTTCCCAAAGGTTACACACGATAGTGTGCTTGAAGCGGTTAACTGGATCATAAGTATCCATCGGGCCAGGGGGACGAAAGCAGTAAAAGTGAGCTGGAGGGGGAAGGAATGCAAGATGACAAGGGAACTGAATGTTGAGTGTGGATTCGTCACTCTGAGTTTTCGTGTTATTAGGACAATGGTAGCATATGACTTGTCCCATGCTTTTGTCAAATGCGGTACCCAGGTACTAAGGCGAGGTCGATCATGGTGAAGTTTGAAGATTGCTATGATAGCAATCTCAAATTGGTACGGAAGGACAAAGACTCGAATACGTTCGAATTTCTGGGGACTGTTGTTCAGATTGGCATATGCCTGATCAGCGTAAAGATTATCCCCAAGACCAGGAACCAGACGTCTCTATTACACAAATGAAAGGTGAAGATTTAATCTATGCAAGACTTCACTTCGTTTTCTTTCAAGAAGATGAAGAGGGTGGTATTAACCGCTAGTATGCTAAGGATTAGTAGGCTTGCTACTAATGAGGAAGACGCGTTAGCTGCCATCTCTGCTTTGGTCATGGAATCGAACCTCCGGGGTTATCCCCCGGAGGTCTCTCTCGGTTCTCTAGCAAGATTTGTTAGAGTGGCCGGTGGTAACTGGGGGGCTTCGCTCCTCAGAATCTAACCCGGCCTGCAAAAATACTTAGTACAGGCAAGGTTTTTTTAGTGAATTTTGCTAGGCTCTGGTCCCTTTTTTTCTTTCTCTCTTTTAATCTTCGTCGCATGACGGCTCTTCGGCTCTATAGGTAAGAATTTTGCCCTTGTGAATGGACGTATTATCACAGGTCTTTTTTGAAATGAGGAAGTTAGAAATTGAAAAAAAAGGGTTTTGGTACCGGTTTGTTTTTCGAACCAGTGGAAGACCGTAGTATGGGTCAGGCACGTACCTGCTCCGAAAGGGTATAAGCCGCCTCTTCTACAGCCGCTACGAGAGAGGCAGATACAATCCTCGAGAGTCTGCCGGTTCAGTCGGCTTGTGCCACGGGAGACATGACAGTGCCTATACTTGGCTATGGCGGGTGAGGTGATCACCGGGAAATGGTGTCGATCGGGTAACAGGGACGGACTGTAGGAGGACGACCCCAAGTTTTTGGAAAGCGGGAGTTTGGATTTGGGTGGAGTGTATACTAATAAGGTAAGACTGTTTTGTATGGTGTTTTGTGGGTACGTGTATGATTCCAAGGAGAACGGAAGGCTGAGTTTGGTGCGCCATGGGTGATACTAATGTCGGGAGGATCGGGGTGGACTGTAATCACGAAAAAATGGTGTGCTGCAGAAGGGAGCAGGGAAGTTCTAATCGGAGGCTATGTCGAAGCTGGGCAGCGGGAAAAAGGAAAGGAAAAAGAAAAAGAAAAAAGAAAAAATGAGGGTGAGGTGGTGGGATGACGGTCCCTGCTGTGGCGAGTGATTGAGATAGGCAGTGTGCTCGTAGTTTTTTTTTTTTTTTTTTTTTCTTGGGGGGGGGACAAAGAGCTCCAATCTATTCGTGGAGGTGCTTGTAGGTTAGAGCACTGAGTTTTAGTATTTAAGGGAAGAGAGGGATGGCCTTAACCCTCTCAGCAAGCTGGGTTGCATGTTCAGGATGCTTCTGTTCTCCCTGATGAGTCTGTGGTGTGCGCCCACAGCTCGTCCGAGATCGCCTGCAAGTGCTTAATCGAATTATCTGTTGTTTTTCAGTTGTATCTTGAAGGAATTGTCTGGTATCTGATTGTACTTTGTATGATCTTCCAGCACGAAGAGCAGTGCGGCCGCTGGTTTCTCCTGAGAACTCTCTCTCTCTCTCTCTCTCTCTCTCTCTCTCTCTCTCTCACGCACACACACACACACACAAAAAAAAAAAAAAAAAAAAAAAAAAAAAAAAGGGAATACAATAACCAAGCTGACGAGCAAGTAGTAAAAACGGAAAAATGAACGGACCGAAAATCAGTGGGCGCCACTGTACTCGAGCTATCTTCTCAGTCCCACACAGGAATGACGGGGTCACGTTTGATCTCTCTCTCTCTCTCTCTACCAGAAAAACAAAAACGGGGAATACAATAACCAAGATGACGAGCAAGTAGAAAAAACGGAAAAATGAACGGACAGAAAAATCAGTGGGCGCCACTGTACTGAAGCTATCTTTTCAGTCCCACACAGGAATGACGGGGTCACATTTGATCTCTCTCTCTCTCTCTCTCTCTCTCTCTCTCTCTCTCTCTCTCTCTGTGCCCCCCTCCCTCCCCCCCTCTGCCCCACAAATACAACCGAGTCAAACCGACCGAGAAGATGAAGAAAAAGAAAAACGAACCCCCACCCATCCCCCACAAATACAACCGACCAAGAAGACGAACAAGAAGAAAAACGAACGAAACAGAAACTTGAACAGCAGTGGGGAACAACAGCGCCCCCCCTTCCCTCTCTCTCTCTCTCTCTCACACACACACACACACACACACACACACACACACATTATATACCCGATTGAACTTTAATCCACAACAAATTCACAAGTTGCCATACACGCATGCAGTTGTAGAGTGACTCGAAGGAGGCAAATCCACACAAAACCGGAGAGAAGATATGCACAGCGGATGCTCAAAATTCACAGAGAATTGAAAAACGAATTTCAATTCTGAAATCCCCCGTCCTCGTCCAATCAATTCAGAGTACTTGTTCCAAGAATCACAAACACGTTTACAACAACCCCGAACAACTAATAACAAGTGGTCAATGAAGTATGCAGGAGTCTTCTTCTTCCTCCTCTCCACCTCATACCCCTGGCTATGGCTGCCGTAGCAGCAGTAACCCCATAGCTGTCACAACGTGCCAATCTGAACCAGCAACCCTAATGATAACGGCGCCAGCTCAGCACCCGCACGAAAATGCAGCGCTGGAAGTCCTGATGAAGAAGGAGACAACTGATCCTGGACCAGCACTTCAAAGAAAATGAAGTTCCTCGTGAGGAGGAACAGCAGAATTGGCTGCCAAGTGGAAAATGGCAGCGCCCAAACCCAACAACACAGTCCTGTGGAAGCTCTCATGCAGAGCTGCGAAATAGCAGCCGCGCGATCGTCAACTTCGTTTCCC